ATCAAACATAAAATAATAGAAGAAAACTGTCATTTTATTTTTATAAATGATAGAAACTTATTAAAAATTGTAGCAACGTGTTATAGCCCTAGAAAAAGTATAGTGTTCAACTCACAAGGAATGCTCATTTTCTATCATATTCGTAGGTAATGAGAACTATTTCTTGCTATAGTAAATATACTAATATACAGGATGACAATTTACACATTTACAATGGTTATTGGTTCGATTCTGAGACAATCTACAAAATCTATAAGCCAAAATCTGTACAAAATTAGATAACTATATCTTACAGATTCTGTAACTTATAAGATATTTCCCAAAATCCTACCATAAATCTCATGAATTAATTAAAAATGACATCAAAAAAGTAAGACCTAATGAGAACAATTTATTTCATTCGCTTGGACTAGAAATATACCAATTCATGGTTAACATAAATTTTTCTGGATGTCTAATCCTATTGCTTTTCATTTTGTTGCGTTATAGAGTACTTACGAGGAATGCTTTGTCCCATACGTATTTCTTGATAGACGTAAAAGCAATTAAATAAAGAAAACACAATTCCGTTTTGAATAATCAGGACCTGTAAACGATAGGTGTTAGCGAACAGTATTTATAGAAGTTTGCAAAGGAATTAATTGGGATTCCATAGCCAATAACAGTGTATTACAGCCAGGATTCATATAGAAGAGATACACATTAATATAAACACTTTTGGGAGAGGGGGACTGTAGGTGGCTACTGGCACAGAGTTAGTCATAACGCCATGGTATTTTAAATCATTCATCTTACTGTATAGAATCTACTACAAGTTAAGGCCAATTTGGTGGGTTGCGATTTATTTTAGAAAGTTTTATAATATTTCATGAGCCTAAAAATAGCCCAAAAATGTGTTGTGGTTGTTTTTAGAAAAAAAGCTTTAAAAAACCGTGGTGCTCTGCTGGCTTCGTTCGGACCTAGCAAATCACCCTGTATTTTTTAAAATAACATTTTTTTTTCGAAAAGTTTTATATTTTAAGATCCTAAAAATATGGTGTCGTTGTTTTTGGAAAAAAACTTTAAAAAACTGAGGTGCTCTACTGACTTCGTTCGAAGCTAGCAGAGCACCTTGATTTTTGCAAAAAACGAGTATCATCCCAAAATTGCCTAGGTGCTCTATTGCCTTCTTTGACATCTTCTTGTTCCATGCTCCTTTTCTTCGATTAAGAAAAAATAAGATTAAATAAGATAAGTATATATAATGTAACTTGACTAACCGGGCCCTAACCTAGTTTTCCAAATACCCTTAACCTTGGCCTAAATTTCGTCTAGTGGATCCCCACGAAGTGATGTTAAAACCCCCAGAATTACGTTTAGAGTTCAATGTAGCTGTAATGGAGGAAGAACAAAGGAAACACCGAGATTAATTTGGAATACTGTTTATTTAACATCTATTCTTTTGTACAGCCGGACATTTAGATTATGTGCCATTTTTAGGCTTAACATTATGTTTATGTAGGCTTTCCAATGTGTAATTTCTAACCTCAGAGCTTTTAGTTCCCATAAAAGGGTAAAATAAAAGTCGGAAGTACTTCGGTATATTTGTTTGTCTCCTAATATACAATCACACGTTTCCACGGAAATACTGAATTACGCATTGTCTAATAAAAGAGAATACAGCGGTAGCACGGGGAGTTTGGCGAAAAGGACAACTGGATATCTATGCAGAAGCCGTCGTTTATAGAAACTAATTTCTCTACTCCGTCGATATCTTTTATTTCCGTTCTCAAAATATAACAAAAACGCGGCCACCGTAAGGGTAGCGATATCTCTTTTTAATTATATTTGAAGAATATAAAGAAAAAGGAGTCACCGTGGCGGTAACGTGGATATTTGCGTTTTTTGTTAACTGGACTCGGTGAAGATCAAAAAGCTAATGTTCCCCCAGCCCACAAAAACCCTGGTATTTATACTTAAATTTCCCATATATGCAAATATATCGGAAAGAGAACGACTGTGAATTCGGTGTATAAAGACTATAAAGCCCTGTATTAATTCCTGAATATAACCCTATCGGTTTACATCTGGTCTTCTAGCTAGCGGCCGTTACAGTTTACGCGTCGATTTCTTTTCTCAGAAGTAATTAAACGGCGCCTACGAGGCGGGATACGCTGGGATGTTGTTTGAATTCGAAATAAAAATTTGAATATAATATGTAATATATAAGAATTATTTAAATTAATTATTAACCCCAGGTTGTCGGATTTTAATAAACGTCTTTCGTTTAAGAATTTTTTAAGAATGCCCATGCTCATAATAAGTAAGCAGGTTTCTTAAATTAAAAATATCGTGTTTAAATTGAGAATAAAACTTTTTGATTTTTAGTATGCATAACCGTCTGTGACGCGAAGCCAACTCTGTTCTTTGTTCTTTGACAGGAAGTCTAGCGCTAGCCACATCAAGACCCACAGCGAGACTCGAGAAACATAATCGAATGCTTTTCATCGCAGTCTGACACGTGAAAAATAATTCCCGGAACTTCTAGACTGAGCTTCTAGTCAGAGTTGATCCTTTTCATATAAATAGCGCGACTTGTCGACAGAGGACAAGTTTTAAATTAAGTGTTGGATAGTAAAGACAAATTGACAAGATTGTGGCATGCTTGGCTCAAAAAAAGGCCGAAAATGTTTATTTTTTATTTAAAATAAAAATGAATTTATCTCTGTGTATTGATGAATTAATATGGACATTTAGGAGATAATTGGAATATAGTTCCGTGGCTTGTCGGTTTTGCAGGGTTATTTTAAAAACTATAAGAAGTTTGCAATTAAGTACAGAAATAACACGGAAACAAATTTAAATTCTAACCAAAAAGGAAGTTTTACCCGCAGAATAAAATACTTCTTGTATAAATGAAAATGGAAGCGGTTGCCAGCGAAACAAACAATAGAGTACATATTTTCTAATATGTACTCTTTTGTTTGTCGAGTTAAGTCGAGTTGACTAACTCGACTTAAATATCTACAAAAGAAAATTATTTCCATACGTTGAAAAGGATTATCCAATAATCTCCAAATCAGATTTGTTTTGTACGTGTTCGCGTTATAGCGACAAGGGGAAGTCGTAAGTATATAAAATTAAAGAGATATACTGAAAATGTAGGGGTTACGAAACCTAACAAGTTTCCTGCATAAAAAAGATGCCATGAAATGATTTGAAAAATGCAATTCAATTTCCGGTTCTTTTTGTGCCTTACAAATAGGAAAGAGGAGGACAATACATTTTTTGAAAGATAGATAAGAAGAACAATAATTCAGGTAAAAGCCGAATAAGAAGAGCTACGAAACCTAATTAGTTATATATAATTGAAAGATGAAGATATCGTAAAAATTATTAAAGCACATAAGGTAAAATGATATAGATACATAAAAAGAAGATGACCGACAGTTTCTGTTAAAAAAGGAGTGAATGGGAAACTGAAATTCAGGTTTGAAGTTCAAATATTGAGAAATATAAGAATACTGGAAATCATTGATTGGAGGAACACCATAAAAGATAAATCAGTAAAAGTGTAGGATCTTATTTGTGTGATACAAATATTTGACATTTATGTTTCTTATCATAAACAATATCCATTGCCTACTATTAAATAATGCTTTCAATTTTAGAAAATTGTCATTTATTTGCGTGTTTCTGAGAAAAAGTGAATACTATTATATATTTTTGAAAAGGTAAAAGAAGACAAATTTTATAGTCTATAAATGTACAGAGTGTTCCATTTAAAAGAAATATGTTTGCTTTATAACTCAAAAATAGTAAATACGTAACAAAAAGTATCTACACTACTGCTTTCTACGGAAAAAATCTATAAGAATGTTATTTTGCTTGTTAGATAAGTGAAGGATAACGGAGATACGAGGGGGGTCCCTAAATGGAACATTTTCAAAAATTCCCTGTATCTTAAAAACTAAAAGGGCTATGAAAATGTTGTTAACGGCATCTTTAGTTTTACGTAAAAGTAGCAAAGTATCGCGAAAACCGCAACCCTCTATATTTAAAAATAACGCAGATACCCGGCAAAAGTACCTAAAATGGGACACCCTATACTTAAGATTCTAGGCATATTTTATGTATCATGTACTATACCTGTCTAAGAGATTTTGACATATAAACTTAAAGATGTCTCCAAAACCGTCGAAAAAGTCTGGGATTTTTATTTCTAAATTCTATAAATGCTAAAAAATGATGGGGGTTGGTTGGCTCAGTGGTTAGACTGCAGGGGTGGCCAACCTTTTTGTAAGATGCGCCACTTTTAACTTTGAAATTTTGCGAAATTTTGTTAGAGCAATAGTATGTTTTCCAATTTCATACCTAATAAAAATATAAACTTACTTTCTTACTACTTTATTATCGATATACTCGTAAATATAAAATAAAACCTCTACTCTAGTTTTCATAACAAAAAAATACAAAATAAAAAAAATAATAACATTTTTGAAAAATAAAAAAACAAAGTCAAATTTAGGCAATTTTCAATGTGGTTTTTGTATCTGAATATTTTTTAGAATGTCATCAATATCGGGAGAAATGTTTGAAGAAGCAATCAAGATTAGATGTTTTAAATAAGTGTCTGTTAAAGTTGAGCGGTATTTATTTTTAATAATATTCATAATTGAAAATGTCTGTTCGCATACGTACGTTGATCCAAACCGGCAACAGTACCTAAGAGCCAAATCGTTCAACTTTGGAAAATCTGAAGCAGGTACAAATTTCCAAAACTCAATATAATCTTGATTGCTTGCCGCGGTTAAAATAATTTCCTTGCATTTGCCCTTTAAAACTGAGTGATTTTGCAAATCAATTATTTCAGTTTGAATTTCAGCTGAATATTCTTTGATCTCCTGTAGAGAAATGCTAACCGGGTTTACAAAAAGCTCAATATTTTATTTATCCTTGTAAAAGTCACTAAATCTATTATCAAATGAATTACGCAAGACGTTTATGAAATTTTTAAATAGGTCATATTTTGGTGTTTTATTAAATTTTGTTAGAGGTTCCTGCATGCGACGAAAATGAGTAAATCTTTCTTGTTCGAAATCATTTTCAAAAAGCACCAGTTTGGCAACAAAAGAGGAAATGTGTGAAAATAATGTAGGAAAAATACAATTTTTGCCCTGAAGTCATAAATTTATATTATTTAAATGTTCCATAATGTCTGTTAGAAAGGCAAGATTTCACAACCAATCTTCATTTTTCAAATGTGAGCACTCATTGTTGTCTTCTAAGAACTTTAAAACATTCTCTCTAAGATTCCAAAACCTATCAAGGGCACTTCCTTTGGAAAGCCAACGCACATCACAATGAAGAAGAAGTTCACCAGTTTCTTCAGTTTCATCAGGAAATAGACTTCGAAATTTTCTCCGATTTAAGGCCCGCGCTCTAATTTTGTTAATACAGTGCACTACCGGGTTAATAACTAAAGAAAAGTCCAAATCTTTGGCACAAAGACTTTCTTGGTGTATTATGTAATGAAACTTGAAAAATTTTCTCCCCAAATAATTTTCAAACAACGCCACAGCTCCTTTTATCTTTCCAGTCATTGCCGGTGCCCCATCTGTACAAATACTATCAAGTTTTATCCAATCCAAATTTTTGATCTCGGCAACACTTTTCATTTCATTGAAAATATCTTTTTCCCTTGTGGTGCATAGTTGTCGCAGGTCGAGAAGTTCTTCTGTCACGTCAAAATTATTATTCACGTATCGGACAAAAATACTTAATTGAGCTTTGTCAGTTATATCACCACTGTCATCCAAAGCCAAAGAAAAATATTTGCAAAAGACCACTCCGGAAATAATTTGTTTATTAACAAAAGTAGCCATATCATCTATCCGTCTCATAACTGTATTTCGGGAGATAGCTCTCATCTTGTTAATTTTTGGATCACCTGCATGCTTAGCCAATATAGATAAACACGGTTTTATTATTTCTTCACCATCAGAATACGGCTTCTTTTTTTTAGCCAATAAAAGGGAAATTTCGTATGAGGCTCTCACCATCGATTCCATCTCGTCGCTCCTTTTATAAACAAATGACTGCTGCCCTGCTAATGACCGTTTCTTCTTACTTATGAAATCTGTTCGTAATTTTGAGCCCGCAGGATATTTGGAATTAAAAGGACCATGCATTTGGGTAAAATGTCGCTCCAAGTTGAATTTCTTTGGAACAGCCACAAAAGCATCGCAAATTAAGCATACCGGCTTAGAACTATTTTGATTCGTAAATAAAAACTGTTCTTCTAACGCAACATTGAAATCACGCACGGATATATCTTCTTCATACTTTCTTTTTGATATTGAAGTCATTTTAAAATATTAAAATAATTCCTTCCGAAAAATAACCAAGCACCTCCAAACTAATGCGAACACTGAAATAAAAGTAGATAATAAAACAAAACATTCCTTCAACTCAATTGCAACCAATGTTGCCAGTCTAGTACAATTGTACTGGATCTAGTACGTTCTCTGAGAATCTGGTACTCTAGTACACTCAAAGCAAAATCTAGTACTTTCTTTTACAGCGTATGCTTCCGTAGGTGAGTTCGGGCTGCGCACTCCAGAGTGGAGTAAGTAGGCGTAAACGGAGTGCGCATATGGTTTTACTCCTTTTACTCTCAGAGTTCAATGTCCGTTGTTAATGTGACATACTAATACTAAAAAACCTAATCGTACTTATCAATAACAACCGTATAAGTTTCTTCCGTATTAATGGTATGCACGGGAACGAAATAAAAAGCATTTTTACTTAAGAATTAGTCCCAATTATCTTAGTATCGATTTAAATCACTTTATGCGCATGCCTAATCCATACTTCACTCCACGATCTCCGAATGGTCAAAAAGGAACTTTTATTTTAACTTTTTCCGTTCCCGAACGCCTTAGGTACTTTAAAAGTGAATATAGTGTGTAGCCTGAACTCACCTCGTTTGACGTGTAAAATATATTAGGCATTCCAATGACCTGTCGAATTGCTAACAAGTGGAGACTGACAATTTAGATATGGCAAAACTGTAGCCTGCTGTTATTTACAGGGTCAATGGTACATGTGACCACACTTCACATTTCGAAAAATCTGGTACATTTGATAGAATCTGGTACATTTTTATGGAATCTGGTACATTTTTTAGACAAATCTGGTACATAACAAAAAGATATTCTGGCAACACTGGTTGCGACGCTTTATTGGTCACTTCAAGGTCACAACAGGGTCGCTCTCCGCCGTAACTTTAATTTTGTGCTTACAAAAATGTTCGGTGATAAAAAATAATCAGTTGATTCTCAATGATGAAGATTTTATATTTTTTTGCTTGTATGTTCTACTGACTTTTGATTGTTTGGTTTAATCATATTATAATTTTTTCTTTATTTGTGAAAAACCTGGCGTGCCACTCTAGAGGGTCAGGCGTGCCACGGTGTGGCACGCGTGCCGCGGGTTGCCCACCACTGGGTTAGAGTCATGACTTTGAGATCGAAGGGTCTTGGGTTCGAATCGCGCCGGTGGCAGGGATTTTTATTTAATTTATTAAATTAAATAGTAATTCTAATGCATATGTAGGATTCCTTACTCGACCATTCACTATTGGGTTTTAATTAAAAGTGTTGTTCCTAAAATGGCGCAGGTATATTCCTAATCTCTGGACGCAGGGAAACAATGGCTACGTTCAGCAGAAAAAATCTGATCGGGATCTGTTTCAGATCAATTTGCAACAGTTTTATAGTCTGCTGAACAGTATCTTTTTTGCGTTTTGAGCAAGAAACTAGTGACATTTGACATTTATTAAAGTCATGTAACTAACCTACAAACTAAACTCCAAATTTATGATTTTATTTTTATCCATTTTATCTGGATCGTGTGTAAATTAAAAAGTAAAATATAAAAGGGTATTGTGTATAATAGCAAAAGCAACTATTGTAAAGAAAGCTTGAGTGATACAATGGATGGCAATATTTTAATGGTCGCCTTTGACGACGATATTGACTTAAATATATTATTGTAAAATTGACGGGACCTTCATTCACTACTCGATGCTTTTCTTTAGCAGTCACCTGAACTTTGAAAGTTTGATCGAGATCTGGGTCAAATAACTCTAGAACTTCCGTATTTTAAATCGGCACCCTCGTCTTTCTTTAATCTATTTTTAAGTTGTTCTTAACCTCAAAACAGAATACGCAACATGTTTACTTGAAAGGTAGCATAAATTAATTACGCTCCAAAAAATCGCGACTGATCCGACAACTTTTTAGAGCAACGTTGAGAAAAGTTGTCGTTCAGCAGAAAAAACTGTTACGTCTGCGATTGACAAAGCCTGCACAAAACACGAAGCTAATAATAACCTAAGTAAAAAAAATCCAAGTTGCCTAAAACTACAGTAAATGTCCTAGCAGACTCAATTTAAGATTCATTAAGATAGATATTTACTGTTTTTTTATAATTTCAAATTACCTAAAACACCTTCCCCAAATTCGTTATTAGCTCTTCGACTATCATGTTTCGTATTTACGTGACTATATAGCAATCTTATTGTTAAGTCCTGTGTTAACACGCAAGGTGTTAACAATATATCCTTAAATATGTTAGATAACTTAGATAAAGAATTTTATGCAACCGATTCTTTAAATTAGAAATCTGATATTAACATTTTTTCAATTGTAGTTGGATAAAAGTATACCTAGTGACATAGCGATTATGAAACTTCGCTAGAATTACATGTTGGGTTTGATGTAAGGTTTAAAAAGAAACATTTTACAAATATCTACAGTAAAATTAATCGACTAATGTTGTTCATTTTAGCGAAGCTTCTTAAATTAAATCAGTTCAGAAATTACCTGTTCTCGCATTTCATCGACTGAAATGCTTAATTTGTCGCTAAGTGATGGTCCTTTGACAACGTTGATGTTCCGGCAACATTAATTGCAAACCAGATTATAGAAAACAAAATATTAATCTAACTTTACTCTAATAAAGTCCTAAATGGTAAAGTTACCTCCAGCAAAGCTCCATAAGCTTCTCATGTCAAAGGACATCGTGTCAAGTCAATGGGCTTGTAACTATAATCGATTTTAGCGAACGATCAATTAATTAATTAATTCTAAATGATTACAGTTTATCTAATAGTTTATAAGCTTTTACACTGCACACAGATGTCATCGATACTTATTTGGTTTTTCTTCTAGACGGTAAAAAAAATTAATATACATATTTTTAAGAGGATGGAACTATTATCTGTAACGAGATTAGTGATAAAAATATAGAAAATCACTAACCACTAACGAATAATACTTAAATCATGCTTTAGATAAGGTAGTTAGCAAATTCTAATTTACATAAGTTTTACTAAATTCAAATTTAAGATGATTTATTGAGTAAGCACTTATCTTTTGGTAAGTGTGGTACTATACGGAATGTGAAACTAAGTTTTTTTAAGGTGAAGGGGGGAGAAAAAGTCCTTTATATCTCACAAGGAAAGTCAATGTTTAATTATTCAACAAAACATTGAGTGCGACCGGTTTCGAAGTATCATCACTTCATCTTTAGGCTTGCCTAGTGGAAAGGAGAATATGTGGTGTAAGGTGTGTTGACTTTGAGCCCACAATATATAAAATAGTAAAAAATAGAAAAACTCACCGTACTCTCCATCTACTAGGGAATACTACAGACAAGTTTCATCAAAACGTGGGGGATGAAATAAATTGTAAAACAAAACAATGTTACAAGTTATAAAAAGTTAAAAATATTTGAAAAACAAATATTAGTCGATATAAACAGTTAAAAATTTTAAAATATTCAAGACTATACAAAAACAAATCACATACATTAAACAGATTAAAAGATAAGGCCTATTTTAAGCAACATTGCTGTTTTTTATAAAAATCTAACATTTTTGAAAGGAGACCTGTCAAGTTAAGGCCTCTACAGGTGGTGGTAAGTACTAACGAAATATTCTTGGATAAACTTATGACAGGGTATAGGTAATAAGATGTAAACTATGAGTGAAGAAATATTTATTATTTATTATATAAGATTTGGGCCATGAACCAATCACCAAGTGTATGTGATGTTGTAGGATAAAATAAGAAAGAAGAAGAAATGACTGGGTTAACTGTTGTGAAGCAACTGAAAAATAAAAGAAGAAGAAAAGAAGAAAATGACAGATGTGAAAACACACAACTTAACCTAGTCCTTAAACATGCACGTTGGTTTTTTGTGGGAAGAAATTACTTACTGAAATGTACCCCTTGCAAGGAAATATGTGAATAGAAATAAAGGGGGAGGTTAAAAAGGAAGTTAGAACGATAAATTTAGATTAGTGTTGAGAAAACTGGAGGAGTTTCTGACATTATCTGGGCATTTAAGCAACCAACAGGATTTAATTTTGAATTTCTCAATATCTCGAGGCTTTCGAAGCTATTAAGAGTAAATCTATGGTAGGAACTATGTAGGATTTCGAAACCTTCAGTTGAATCGAAGTCGTGATTTGAGTCCAGTAGGTGGTTGGCAAAATGTGAAAATCCTGTTGTATTTTGGTTAAGACAACGCAAATGTTCTTTTAAACGGATCTTGAAATTTCGAAATGTGCGTCCCACATAGAAAGAATGGCAAGATTTACAAGTCAATTTATAAATTCCAGACAAGTCAAAGGGATCTAATTTATCTTTATTGTGAACAAATAACTTATGTAATGAGGAGGGGGTTTTGAAAGATACTTTAAAGTGGTCTTTAAGTAAGCTTGCCACTTTATAGGATGCTTTTCCAATAAAGGTAAGAGAAATGTATTTCTTACTGGTGGTTAGTTCATGTACCAAATTAGAATTATTAATATAAACCAAGTTTTGTTGAATTTTATTTTGTTTATGTGTTAGCATTTTATCAATAATATCCAGTTCAAAGTTGTGATCTATAGCAATAGTTTTAATTATATTTAGTTCCTTATTAAAGTTTTCCGTAGACAGAGGAATGTTTAATAGCCTCTCTAAGTAGCAATTAAAGGCAGCCAATTTATGTGTTGCTGAATGGTTAGAGGTATTGTCTATAACTGTGCCTGTATGTGTTGGCTTTCTATAGATGTCAAAGTTGAACTTGTTATTATTGTGTGAGATTTTAAGATCTAAGAAGTTAATAGATTTGTTTATTTCAATTTCTAATGTGAATTTAATATTAGAATGTAAGTCATTAATATAAGTCAAGAAGTCATTTAATGAGTCTAAGTTACCTGACCACAAAATCAAAATATCATCAACATATCTATAATAGAATTTCACATTTGAGTGGAAAAGGTTATTTTTTTTTTCTTCTTCTTTTCTTCTTC